TGGATTGTCAAGTCCTATAATAAACTATGGTGTAAATAGTGTTGTTGGGTGTGGTATAGATGTAACCAAGGCAAGATTTGATGAAGATGGATTCCTCGTTCCACAACAAGAATTAAATATATATTTTACTGTCAATGGTATAAAGGTAACTTCAGCTGCCTAGATATATTTTACTTGATAAACACGCATCTGATGAACCCAATTCAAGACTTTATAGGTCCAGGGACTGGAGCCCAATCACTAATCATCTTAGATATACACATCTGATCAACCCAATTCAAGACTTTATAGGTCCAGGGACTGGAGCCCAACCACTAATCATCTTAGATATACACATCTGATGAACCCAATTCAAGACTTTATAGGTCCAGGGACTGGAGACCAATCACTAATCATCTTAGATATACACATCTGATCAACCCAATTCAAGACTTTATAGGTCCAGGGACTGGAGCCCAACCACTAATCATCTTAGATATACACATCTGATGAACCCATTCAAGACTTAATAGGTCCAGGATCTGGTCTCCAACTGTTTCTCATCTTGTTGTTATTCTTGTTCGCTAGGGCGACCTTCTTCGAAAAACACCTAAGGCTCCACCATTTCATGAAACTTCAATTTTGTTATGCTGTCACAATTCCAAGAAGGATTCGATGACATTATATAGTCAGTTCCTGGTCCATAGAACACTGGTGCTAGTTAAAGGAGCTAAAACTCTATCTCAGTATTATTCATAATATTCGAAATTAAAAACACAAACTAGAACTGCTTTGAGAGAACTATTCATATTTGGGGAAAATTGGTAGGCCTCTGTAATTATTGGAGGTTTCCGGAAACCATCACAAGAATTTTATTATGTCATTTTGAAGGCATCAGTGTGTTCTTTAGTCCTTGATACCTCAAATACTAACGGATATACCCCATCTTGAATGTCGAAACAGGTAAAAGGGATGTAAATCATGATTAAATTAATATATGCTTTTAGATTCATTTTCGTCTTTTACAAAAAATAGAGCTATGTGCCCTTTAACTAAAACTAAACTTTGCAAATCTGTTAAATATTTTATGGAAAACTATGTAGTTAAATCAAAGACAATATTTTATAATTTCAATTATATATTAGTTGTAATTTCTATATTCGGCAGCGTGCAGAAAATATAAAATTTCCCTACGTGACTGATTGTCTGTACCCTTCATTCAGTAATCATTATGATGGAGATGTCATACGTCTGCATAATTTCACCACTTCATCACCAACAACATATGCTAAACCAGAGGTAAGTTATTATATTATGATGGAGATGTCATACGTCTACATAATTTCATCACCAACAACATATGCTGAACTATGAATGGGATTTATAGGACCCTTGTTTCAGAACTTGCCTGAAATGATATGGGATTTAACATCCTACTGTTCTGCTCCAACTGAGCTAATGAAGATGGTTTGAGAGAAATGTTGCCAAGACAGCAGTATTAAGACCTACTCTTATATCGAATTCCATACGCCAAGAGATCTTTTACGTGCACACCAATGTATACACAGGTCCTCTGTTTTTTGTCCCATCTAAATGACTAGATAGCTGTCCTTGTCAGGCCCTCTGACAATGGGAAACCACACCAGAAAATCCCAATGAACTTTCTCGGCCAATGCATGGATCAAACACGCGACCTCCAGACTAGCAAGCCAGCGTCTTACCCACTTAGCCACCGTGGCTCCCGTCTGTCTTGAGAACTTGCCTGTCAATCATTTTACATACAGTAAAATTGTAAGTTCATAGAATTTAAACTTAATACACACTAACTACTTAAAGATATATATATATATAAAAATTGGGATTATGCTCTGAAAAAATTATCTTGCTTACAGTTAAACAAATTAATTTTAAAAATGGCCCATTAACAGAGTTTTAAAGTGAATGCTCTGGATAGGTAAATGAAATGAAATAAGGTTTAACGTCCTACTGTTCTGCTCCAACTGGGCTAATGAAGACAGGCATATGCCATACAGTGTGGTTTGAGGGAAATGTTGCCCAGACAGCAGTGCTAAGACCTACTCTTATACTGAATTCCAACTGCCAAGGGATCTTTTTCATGCATGCCAATGTGTAGACAGGATGTCGTTTTTTTGTCCTATCAGAATTACTATACGTTGACCCTTACCAGACCCTCCGTCCTGCACCAGGGGAAGCCATGCCAGAAAATCCTATTGAACACAGGACCTCCTGGTTAGCGAGCCAAAGTCTTACTCAATGAGTCACAGAATACTGGTTGGATCAAGGCACTTTATTGTGTATTAAAGTCTATACCCATCTCTAATTATGCAAAGGATTGATAGTGTAAGGTAAAATGAGAGTAGCACAAAAAACAGATACAGATAAAGAAATAACTTGCCATATTGAAGGGAAACATGGATAATTAATGTCTTCACTTTACTGTCTTTATGATGTCAATATTACATGTGTCAACCTTTCAAATATCACAAAATACATGTGTCATCCTTTCAGATATCACAATATTACATGTGTCAACCTTTCAACTATCACAATATTACATGTGTCAACCATTCAACTATCACAAATATCAAAGTCGACATGTTTTTTGACATGTTAAATCTTAAATCTTTTTCCACATATACAGAGAAACAATTTTGATTAATTCTAGTATTTGTAATTTATACATTTCAGCAGTTTTATTAAAACTCTATGTATGGCCCTGTATCCATGAAGAGACTTCGAAATTGAACAATACTTTAAATAATGTAGTTTGTCATTATGCTCTTTTAAAATTAAATTCTTCTGTTCTAGGAGAATATCATTTCTGACACAAGTATTGAAGATGGGTGTCATTTTATAGCTGTTGGTCTAGGAAAGGGAGATAATAAGAAATTAAGTCAGATTAATCAGGCACTATCTGCCAGTAAACTGATAGATTCATCATCATTAGACTCCAGCCTTGCTAAACATCAAAAGTAAGTACCATTGTCCCATATGCCTACCTTTCGCAATGGTGATATATTTCTATCCCTCCTGTCCATCAGTCTTTCCATTCACATTAACCATCTAGGGGCCCATAAAACATTAGATCTTTTTATACATGCATATGGGAGTATATTGATGTCACCCCTGGCTGGAATATCTTAGCCAACACACTAGTATCAAACCTGCCACATTCTGGTTGGTGAAAGTAAGCCAGTGCTACCCACTGAATGGGGCTCCTGATATGTTATTATGACTTGATGCAGTCAACTTGAACCATATGTTAGTCCCGAAATGACCTAGTTTGTGTTGAGGGGATGTTAAACCCCATCTCTCTCTCTCTCTCTCTCTCTCTCTTGATACTCTTATGTAAATAATTTAGATCGTACAGAACAACAGAAGTACAGTCAATTATCGTGGCAAAAATCAGGTCTCAGTTTTTTTTACTATATGTACTTGATACAGAATATTGCCTTGTCTTCAATTTCAGAAATGTAAATAATTTAGATCGTACAGAACAACAGAAGTACAGTCAATTATCGTGGCAAAAATCAGGTCTCGCGAAATTTTCCAAAAGTTCCTCCAGACTGAAAGTTATCTCTGTTGACTTGACTAGTGATCAGGTAGGTTTTAACTTGTGATATCCACTACTACATGAATAAACTGTGTCTAGTATGGTTATATTAATTCAGGTCTAGAATAGACTGAAAATCAATAAGGTTCAATTTCTCCAATCCCAATCCTTCACACCAAATTTGAAAATCAATAGGTTTCATCCTCTCACAGTCCTAATGTTTTACGCTAAATTTGAGGAAATCCTTAAATTGCGATCAGTCATTAATTCACTGTATTTTCCGGTGTATAAGACGCAGGGTGGGTTTGTTTGGGGGTTTTCTAGGGATAAATGAAGATCATGTGTTTAAGATGTGCATTCTTCAAGCAGCAGCAAACACATCACACTCCCTTCTGTACTATATCTACAGATCTCATTTCAGAAATTGTACGCAAATTGTTTAAAAGTATGTAATATGAAGGTTGTGGACCCTCTAGATATCACAATTTTGATCCGATTTTGATGAAACTTGAAATACATGATTATAACCCATTGGATCATAACTTTCTGAATTATGGCCCCTGATTGTACGTAAAATCACATTTTTAGCTTGTGGTCACTCTAGAGGTCACAATTTATATCCAATTTTAAAAAAACATGTGAATATATCACATTTTAGTTCCTTTTGATAATCGCGCATATCCAAAGGTAACTTCCTGGATTATGGCCCCTGATTGTTCTAAAAATTGCATTTTTAGCTTGCGGATTCTCTAGAGGTCACAATTTTTATTCCTATTGTAAAAAACGTTTAAATATATCACCATTCCACCATAATGAAGGTTGAATTCGAATTTTGAGAAAATTGAAATGAAACTATCCAACAAAATGGCCTCTCTTTGTACGCAAATTGTGTAAAAGTATGTAATACGAAGGTTGTGGACCCTCTAGAGGTCACAATTTTTACCTGATTTTGATGAAACTTAAAACATATTTTAATATCTCAAAGATCTCAGTTCTGTGTGATATTTGTCCATTTCAGACCATAACTTTCTGAATTATTGCCTCCCTGATTGTACAAAAAATCTCATTTGTTTTTAGCTAGTTCTCTATCCATCTCGTGCAGAATGTGGGCATATCATGCCTGGCAGCCACTGGTTAAGTTTTAAAATTGAAATTATTTTTAGTCGTGATATTGAAAATTTTGGGGTTTTAGAATTGAAGTTTAACATTTTTGCTTTTGAAATCGAAAATTTCTGCTTTTTTAGTTTAAAATTTTTACCATTTGATTTTACCATTTTTACTTTTAATATTTAAATATTTTAAACTGAACACAGTTTGAATATTATTTGATTATGCTGTTTATTTTACAGTGTGATAAAGAAATAGAGAAATTGAAGCAGATGATAGTTAATCATGAGAATAGTTATTCCAGTGTACATCATGATGTCTATAAAGTATCAGATCAGTTAAAGACAGACAGTAATTCGGTACTTACTACATTAAAAAAATCTGAAGTAATGAAAACCTCTCTAAATATGGATATCATTACACATTTACAACACAAGGTGAGTATTTTAACTATTTGTGTTGTGTTGCTATCTGAATGGGTTATTGGTTAATGCATTAAATGTTCATGTTATATATCATCACAATATATTCCTGACCAATAATTTTGTATGAAATCTTGTAAAATTAAAATAAAACATTTTGTTTTAATAAAGGGGAGTGTGGTTTATATACCTGGATGGAAACAGAAAGCCATGTTATATCCAACTTGGTTTGAGACTTGTCTTAATGCATTAAAAAACCCTGGAGATAAAGTTGGTTCACAAGCTACTTGTGTTGAGCAGGAAACCTTGGCTTGGACACAAAAACAACTGTTGAAACTTATTCCCTCACAGGTAAATTATTGTCATTAATAACAAAGCTATCATTGTGCTAAATCAGATGCCGATTTTACTAGTGAAAGGTATTACATGTATTGAACACTATTTTTACATCCATTCATTTGAAATATTAATTTTGGACCATTCTGTGGACACTTTTAAATTTCTATATCAATACATTTTGCCTTATTTTGGTTGTTTTTAAATATTTTAAGTTAATTTCATTGACTTAATAATATTGAATATTTCATAGATTCCATTAGTTTTTATGGATAACAAAAAACAAAAAATCTATTTAGATAGATTTAAAAATTTATTTGAATCTGAACATTTGTTTAAACATTAGAAATGGATACATTGTATAAACAGAATTATCTTTATAGGCCATACTAATCAGATTTTTAATTATTTGGGGTCTTGATCAATAAATGAACCATCCCAATTTTATAACTTAGATATTTTGAACTAAAAGCTTTTGAGAATAACAACTAAGTACTTTTTGTTTTTAAATTAGGTTTTTTTTCCTGAAGAAATGGCCGACAAAATTTTTAATAGTTGTTTCTAGAGGACAGAAATTCAAATTTTTCCGTAGATTAGCAGAGAAATGTTCATTTTTTTTATAAATATTGATGAATATTTCACATAAAAGCAATTTATAATTAACTTCTACTTTTATTTAACCAAATTATTTTTGCATACTTGTTAGTTAGGATAATATGCTATTCTCTGAGTTCACGAATACAGTGTTAAATGTGAATCGTCTTGTATGTGTTATATTTATATATATTTATATGCATACTAGATTTGTGATATTGTTTTTAAATATTTTATACGCCCACATTTTTATGTGGACGTATATTGTCGTCGCCCCTGTCCGTCCGGGACACTCTACAAGTCACAATTCTTATCCGATTTTGACGAAACTTGAAATATAGGTTTATAACCCAAAGATCTCGGTTCCTTTCGATATTCGCGCATATCGGACCATAACTTCCTGAATTATGGCCCCTGATTGTACGAAAAATCACGTTTTTAGCTTGTTGACCCTATAGAAGTCATAATTTTTATCGGATTTAAACAAATATATTATTATATCACCGTTACACCCTAAGGACAAATGAGTTTGAATTTCGTGAAAATCGGCCCAAAATTGACAGACTAAATGGCCGCCGTTCGTTCTCAACTATCGTAAAAATATGGTATATCAAGGTTGTGGACCCTATAGAGGTCACACTTTTTATCTGATTTTGTTGAAACTTGAAATGTAAGTTTATAACACAAAGATCTCATTTCCTTTCGATATTCGCGCATATCGAATTGTAATTTCCTGAATTATGGCCCTTGATTGTAGGAAAAATCACTTTCTTGTTAGCTTGTTCTCTCCATCTCTCGAAAATGTGGGCGTATCCTGCCTGGCAGCCGCTGGTTTTATTATTTGTGATATTTGTTTTTATTTATGTGTACAAATATGTTTTTGTGGTTTAATTTAGCCTGTTTCAGATATTTCACCATATGTTTGGAGCAATATAACCCTGTTGGAGCTGATGTGCCATAAAACTCCATTTCTTTCATTCTTTGTATGTTTTATATGTTGTTTCAGAATGATTCGTTAGAAGAAATGCTGCCTTATTTAGGAATCATAAAAATTCCTTGTTTGCGTATCAAAAATACAGATGAACATTTTTTATACACTCTACCTCAATATATCATGACAGATAATAATAAAATTGTAAGTTATGTTTTTCTATTATATACTTTAAAAAGGTGGGGCAAATGGTCTTATGTGTGTGCTTTAGATCATAAGGTCTGTCATTGAGTCAATGGTGTGGTTTCAAACCCACACTTGTACATAGCAGGGAGTAGGGTCGTCTGTCCAACCATGTGGGTGTCCTCCCACTGCTAAAGACCCCTACGTGCAAGCGAATTATTGAAATAAATTGACATTAAAGTCCATTCTCTCTATAAAAAAGAGTACTTATACTTATAAATTTACTAATAAATAACTATTTCATATATTTCAGGCCAAGTTTGTATCTGCTAAAGAGAATATGAAGGATATGTTTATAGTTGAAAGGACATATACATTAAACTATCCAATCACATCAAATATATTTATACATATTATAAACAGAGCCAGTAATTACAGTCGTATACTCATTTTAAACCAATCAACAGCTGTCTTTCAAAATGGTGCTGTACAAACCATCATTGAAGCCAATGAGGGTAAGATATTTAAACTGTCTATTAAAATGTTCCCTATTTAAATGTTGGATAGGTTTCAGAACTGGATAAATTTGACATATTTGAACATTTTTGTATTCCAAAATTCCCAGATTTTCTATGATCCATGTGTATCGTAAGGCCTGTTATTTATCATATGGCCTGTTATGTATGGAATTCAAGGGTTTGATGTAGGAATTTGAATGTTTTGTTGACACATGAATTTTAATTGTGGTCTGAGACCACTTGTTTAAATAACAATAAGAGTTATGCCCCTTTATTTTTGTAAAAATTTCTGACAAGAAACATTTTGAAATCCCAACACTGGTGCCTCTCCCTAATTTTTTAGGTAGAAACTATTTTAGTGTAACTTCTTTGATAGGCATTCAGGATTCGAACATATTAATACAAGGTACAATTTTATGTGTACCGGTACACAATTAGTGAGTATATTAGTATGCAACGTTTCAACAAGAACACTCTTATCTTTACCAAGCTAATTATCCTCGTCGAAACATTACATAGTAATAAATGCATTCTTCCTTATATTATTTCAGTGTAATATTGTGTAAAATTGGGAATACCTAATAAACACGAATTTAAAGGAGCTAAATCGCTAATATTTTGGGCCTAGAAATTAGCACAAATGGGTCGCAACACATATAATAATGTAATATGAATTGATATAAACTGTTTTACATTTAATCGTTTCCGTTTTACTGTGAATTGTCACCAGTTATGTTCGACGAAATACGCCAGAAGTCTCAACTGAAAGACAGTTTCTAGCGTCTGGTTATTCCAGTCAACACCGATAGTATATATTGCACATGCTCTCCAAATAAGAATATGGCATCACCGTTTGACATGACTTGTGGAATATGTCTAGCCTCATTCTTTGAGCACCTTGTTACAAATGGCGCTGAAACGCATTATGGTACACGATTCGTGTACCAATGGTAAAATGTTCATTTTGTCTTAAATATTGGATATCAGAAGTCCATCTTTTCCAGGTAAGACCACAACACCAATGCTGATTTAAATTGCAAAAAAATTTGTGTTTTCAATGTCGAAGATTTTGGATGATATTGAGTTACGGACTTAGCTACTTTAACAATGCATCATGACTCTAATGTCTGAAGTAAAATTAAATATTATTAATAGTACTTATTATTATTTTACAGAGAATATCAAGTTAGAATCGAGATGTTATTGTCCAGTAACAGGATTAAATGAAGCAGCGATACCAGATGTACAGGAATACACAGCTAATATATTCTATCTCTTCTCCGATTATATCGATGGTATTATGAATGATTTACAGATATCACCAAACGTTAAAGATAATATACCTCCCACTTTAGGTACGATATTATAAGATTTTTTGGGGCAGGGGGTTGGTGGCCGAGTGGTTAATGTGTGCGTATTGGATCATAAGGTCTATCATTGAGTCAAGTCACATGGTTTTGATTACCCGCTTGTATGTGACAAGGAGTCGGGTTGCCAGTCCAACATCGATGTGTTTTCTTGGGTTTCTCCAGTTACCTCCCACTTCTAAAGGCCCATACATGCAGTCGAATTATTGAAATAGAATTGAACCATTGCTATTCCCAAAATGACCTAGTTTGTGTTGAGTGGGTGGTAAACCCTATTTCTTTCTCTAAGATTTTTGCAATCAAATATAGATCATCCCTTGATGAACTAACTGAATCATGGCTCTCATTTGGGTTGTTTGTGCCAGTTTTGACTGACGGACATGAAACTGAATGACTAGAGAATTTGCCTGTCAATCATTTAACATACCCAAAAATTTAACCTCCAGACATAGTACATGTAAATACAGTTTTTATGTCTAAAAACACTGAAAAATTTGATCATTTTTGTTGAAAAAAAATATTATGCTTATCGGAAGCAAACATTTCCAAAAAGCTCTATCACTGCTTGTTGAATTTAGTAAAGTCTAATAGTTTATAAGTTTAAAAACCTTGGCTCTGTTTCTCGAAATTTTAACTAATTATAAAATCCAAATTTTAGTAGATACTTCAATTTTGATTGGCTAAGCACTAAAATCAATCTAATATTATCCAATCAAATTACTAAAATTTGAATTTTATCTTAGTTAAAATTTTGTGAAACAGGCCCCAGATGTTTTGACTATATTGACTAAATCTGATTTTTACAATTTATTTCATTGTTTTTCAGTAAACACATCAATAGGGTGTCAACATGATTGGGATAATCGAGGTAGTAGTAAAGTCAGGACCAGCATTTGTACATTGTGTAATCAATGCTGTGATAAAGGTCGAGCATGTCCGTGGTCAGGAATAGTTGGAGACACACCATCCCTGTGTAACTGTCAGACCAATATATATGGTTGTCAGGATTGCGGAATCTGTAAAACTTGTGCCAATGATTTATGGGTAAGTAACTGGAAATTATTATAAGCTTTCCCATTCTGGAAGAGCAGGTCCTTGTACGTTGACTCCCACACAAAGGCCGGTGTAACCCCTATTATTTGTTTTCCCACACAGGTCCAGGTGTACCATCTAATAGGTTGTCTCTCTTGTAGGACCTCCTGCAACCACTAATAGTTCCACTCTTGTTCAGGGTTCCAGTGCCACCCCCTAGTATCTTGATTCCCAATCAGGGCCACCTAATATCTTGTCTCCCTTCCATGTAACCCCTAATAAATTTTCTCCTTTCCAGAACCACCATACACAAATTTATTTCACTCTTGTTAACTCCTAATTGCTTGACTTTCATCCAGGAACTTAGTGCAACCCCTAATTGCTTGACTCCTTTCTGGGGCCGTTTTGTAATCCACCAATAATACTTGAGTATAATTTATTGTTTATGTATTGTTTATTTATCAAAAATAAAATTGTAAAAATGTTAAAGAAACAAACCACATTATTTCCTTTTTTGCAGACATTGAAATCTGTTTTACGGCCATGTTGTGATGTCACTGTATATGGATCAAAAGACAAGGGACATAACTCTGTCTTTCCTTTAAATGGTCAGACATATAATGAGTTTACATGTGTTGCTCTGACCAGTAATGTACCTGTTTGTCTTAAACTGTAAGTAATGAAGTAGTCCTAGATTAAACAGTTTATCCTGTGGCACAGTGGCTCAGTGTGTATGGCTCTTGCTTACTCACTAGATAGTTTTGGGTTCAATCCCGGTGTTTGTCAGAGAGGGGTTGCATGTATCATAAGGTCTGTCATTGAGTCAGTTGGTGTGGTTTCGATTCACTGGATGTACGTGAGAAGGTGTAGGCTTGCCTTCCAACCTCGTTGGTTTTCTCCGGGTCCTCCGGTTTCCTCCTACTGCTAAGGATGCACAAGCGAATTATTGAAATAAAATTGAACCATATGTTAGTCCCGAAATGACCCGATTTGTATCGAGTGGACGTTAAACCCAATTTCTCTCTCTCTCTCGGTGTTGGTCGAGAAAACTTCAGCCAAGCTTCTCACATGTCAACAGTGCAGAACAGGGGGTGGCAAGGAAAAGACGTTGACCATTCTGATGGGACAGAAAAACGAGATCCACCTGTTTACTTGGTGGCATAAACAATAATAAACCCCTGACAAGCACAGTTTCCCTCGTAGCAAAGTGCATGGCATATATCCGTCTTTGTTAGGAGAGCAGTAAGATGTTAAACTCCATTTTTTTTCATTTCAAGTTACACTCTATTTTCTGACTTGTACAAAACCCAACAAATCTTCTGAGGTTACAGATAAGAAATTGACAACCTATTACATCGACTGCAATAATGTTTCAAATTTATGGTTAAAGAGAAGAGCTGGCTGTTCCAAAATGAATATATTGAAAATTTCATTCAAATTACTTTATTCTGAGTGGATAATGAAAAATTAATATATTGAAAATTTCATTCAAATAACTTTATTCTGAGCGAAGATATTAGCCTAGATTTGTGCACTTATTGTAACCACCTTACTGGTTGTTTGAGTCTTAAACTGGTTTCACCATTTTTAAATTAATTGATTAAATGGTCGAACCGTTCTAATCTACTTAAAATGGGGCCTATCCGATGGCATCGAGAGTTGATTATGAACTTGTCATGTTAATAAATGTCTAATAGTTTATATAATATTGAAGAAAGACCTGCAATAGGCAGATTTAGCTCTTCAAATTGCCTGTTTAATAAATATTTAAATAATATTTGAAGCTAGAAAAAAGACCTGTAAAAGACAGATTTAATTCTTACATAATGCATCTTTAACCGTTAATGGCTTGTTTTTAGGTTCGGTGATACATCAGAACAAGTTGTACAGGTTTATCCAGGACCTGCTGTGGAGATTGAAAATCAGCAAGATCTGGAGAAGTATAATCAAAATGCTGATAATTTTAAATCTTTGATGTTTGACCCTGGTGATGAGTTAAATATCACACTTCATGCGGTTCAGGTATGTTTACAGACAGGTTCCTCCATCTTCATTAGCCCAGCAGGTACAGAAAAGTTAAACCCCATTTCATTTCACACAAACTGAAAAACATTTCAATTTAAAAAATAATTTAAAAAAATGTATTTATGTACCTTTATTAATTTTTTCTGGTTTTAATCTTTAATCTGATGCTATATTTTTTCCATTTTACTTTCAATTTATAGCCTCAGTTTGAGTCAGTAATCTGTATAAAAGTTTCTGAATGTTGATTGAGATAAGACATTATGTAAAGTGAAATGAAATGAAATTGGTTTTAACATCCTACTGCTCTTATCCGACTGGACTAATACAGTGTGCTATGAGTTAAATTTTGCCCAGTGAACAGAAATCATACAATTTTCAAATACTGTTGGCGAGTAGAAATTATTTAATTAAGTTTTTTAAGTGCTAGAATGATTCCTATGATTGAATAGTAGTTATTTGACAACCTATGAAATAAAAGATATAGAAATAATTATGTTTTGACATTCTTAGGAAATATATAATTATCGCTTTAGCACCAACTAAAAATGTCTGACGAACAAAATCTGTGGGTAAACAAAATACCTTTACGAAGTGAAATCCCTGTTAAGGTCATCAAAGATATGGAAAAAAATCACACAGAAATTAAAAAGTATTTGTAATGTTATCAAATTTGTTCTTTGTTTACTTGTAGCAATTACCAGGTTCAGTGGAGCTAGAAACAGAAACCAAATCTCTTGAAATTAAACCAGTTTATTGGAGTATCATAAATAGAGAAGTTCGAATATGTCATGAGACTGGTATACTATGGTAAATTGTTTTTTTTATTCTGGGTTTTCCTTCCACTGCTAAAAACACTGAAGCACAAGCAGACTATTTGAATAAAATTGTTCCATATGTTAGTCCCAAAATGACCTGGTTTGTGTGTCCCCCCTCTCTCTCTCTCTCTCTCTCTCTCTCTCTCTCTCTCTTTCTCTCTCTCCTATTCTCTCTTAATTTGTTTAATATCTACCTGGGAATCATAGTAAAGTCGGGGAGATATGGGGATTTACATGTTGAGTTGTATAGTTTTTTGTGCTGATTGAATTTAAAGACTATCAACAATATCTCGTCTAGAAAAGCAATTGGATCTTGAACTTTTATCATGTTTTTGCTGTTAGCCATCATTTCAAGTGCTGGTAGCATGACACTTACTGAGCACTTATTTGAATGACGATGTTTCCAGAAATTCAGGAGAATGTTTTTAAAATTATAGGCGAAAAAGCTGTCTTACTTGTGAGTGGTACATGAGAATTCAAGAATTAACAAATGCAGTTTATTTCATGAAGAATTTTTTTATATATCATTTCAGTTATGAAACTAAATCCAGTTCTGTTCCAGTTGGTCAGTTTGTGGGACCAAAGGCTTTGACTCCAGACTGCAACAGATTTTCATTTAGTAAGCCCAGTTTTAAAGTATTCATGACTAATTCAGTCTGAAGTATGTCACCATATAGCTGGTGTATTTTCTTAAATAGGTCTGTCTTAAGCGGGAGACACATTAGCCGAATCATTTGTCCGAATCAATCATCGCCGAATTGCAGCCGATTTCATACGGCCGATTGATTGGAACACGTGGTGAATTCCTAGCACACAGACAGTCCATTATTCTGTAATAATGAATTGATTGTTGATCTGAAATCATACATCAATCGTATTTGTATGCAGCAGCAAACAATTTCTTGTGGAACATGCTATCCTTAAAGTATACTGGTTTATATCCTGATAAGCACATTGTAATGTAGCCGTTAAAAGAAATGTAATGGATTTTAACGTCCCACTGTTCTGCTGCTACTGGGCTAATGAAGACAGGTATACGCCATCAAGTGTGCTATGAAGGAAATTTGACCTGGACAGTGGTGCTATGACCTATTCTTATATAAAAATCCAACTTCAAGGGGTCTTTTATGTGTGTGCCAATGTGTACACAGGACCTTGGTTTTTCGTCCCATCTGAATGACTATACATTGTCCCTTGCCAGGCCCTCTGTCTTGCACCACTGACTTAAGGGAGGAACCTTGCCAGAAGATCTTGATGAACTTTCCAGGCCAACGCAGGGATCGAACACAGGATCTCCAACTTAACAAGCCAACGTCTTACACACTGAGTTGTCTTATACAATGAAATGTAGCCATTGTTGTCTTGTATAATAGTATTTTAGATCATTTACTGAAATTTCCTAAATAAGTTTTGTGTTTTCAGAGGTTATAAATGAAGGTGTTAGTCGATATATAGCCATTGGTTTAGTACATCAGAAATATCGAGCTAATCGACAACCTGGCTGGGATTCCAGTTCCTGTGGTTACCATGCCGATGATGGAGGGTAAGTAATGTCTAATCACTTCATTTGATACATAAATATAGATAAGTTTTGTTTCTATACATGAGGGGGGAATGGGGGGTGGGGGTTTCTAATGCATGCCCTTTATATCATAAGGTCTGTCATTTTGTCAAGTGTCATGATTTTGATCCCAAACTTGTAGGTTTTCTTCATTTCCCACCCACTGCTAAAGACTCCAACACACAGGGAAATTGTTGAAATAAAATTTACCATTTTAGTCCCAAAATAACCTAGTGTGTGTTGAATAGATGTTAAACCCAATTTCTATCTCTATCTGTCTGTCATTTTTGTTTTCGGTGCAGAACAGTAGGACGTTCAACCCCACTTCATTTCATTTTCATTTTCTTTATTTCAGTGTATTTATAGGAAATGGTTCACCTAATTCTCGTTTAAAAAAATACCACAAAGGTGATATTGTTGCTTGTGAATTCGATTTTGATATTACACAATATAAATTCTATTTGAATGATGAATTGGTAAGTTTCTGATCAATATCAACACAGAATATTTTGAAGTTAGATAATTGTTGGTTTTCTAAAAATACTTTGCATGTTTACACATTAAAGCCACACATGGTCTTTTGAGGGATTTAAAACCCCATGCAAACTACATGCGCTTTACTTTATAATGTCAAGTGGCGTGGTTTGATCCCACACCTAAGGAGTTGAGTCGCACAACAAGACCTTGAGGATTTTCTCTGGATCCTCCTGTTTACTTCCACTGCTAAGGACCCCTAAACACTAACAAATTGTTGAAATAAAACTGTACCATATAAACTCCCAAAATGACCTAGTTTGTGTTGTGTGGACATTAAACCCCATTTCTCTCTCTGTATTTGACCAACTAGTACAACTGAATAAAGGATTCTGTTTTTACACACCCACATTTTATGGTAACGGTTACTGACAGTATCGATATGTATTCACTAGAGCTTGAACTGACAGTATCAATATATATTCACTTGAACTGACAGTATCAATATGTATTCAATAGAACTTGAACTGACAGTATCAATATGTGTTCAATAGAACTTGAACTGACAGTATCAATATGTGTTCAATAGAACTTGAACTGACTGTATCAATATGTATTCAATAGAACTTGCATTGACTGTATCAATATGTATTCACTAGAACTTGAATTGACAGTATCAATATGTATTCAATAGAACATGAATCGTATCTTTTACATACTTTGACATGTATTTGATGTGTGAAATATTCTACTATTACTGTTATATTACAGGTTGTCAATGTATTGATTGTATTGTTTTGTTGTTTATTGACCTATTTCCATATATCTGAATAAAATATTGTTGAAGAAAAAATAAATATTACAGGTTTACACAAGTAAAAATTGTCGAATACCTCCTGGTGGTTTTTACCCAGCTGTTGGGTTTCATTCTCGCGAAGAATCTGTTCAACTACTAGAAAAGGAGCCATGGGAACTACCTGCTGATGAAATAGGGGTAAGTTTTTAAATTTTAAATAAATAATGTAAAAAAATTTACTTACACTCACCCCTTGCCCCCCTACCCTACTTCCTGTCATCCCCCTCCCCTACTTCCCTACTTCCCTACTTCCGGTCACCCCCACATCAATCAGTCCTAGAAATAACTCATATATTAATCTTTTAGTGGCATTTAGTTACCGGATAGAACAATAAACTATAACACAGAATGCTAATATTTTTGGACAATGTTTTGATGAGAATTCTCTCAGTGTTATCAATGGAATAAATTAAGAGATTACTCCTTGAAACCTCTCCCAATACATTAGTAGCTGTTTTCCATATTACTGGTACCAAATACATTAGTAGCTGTTTCCCGTATTTATTACTCATATACTATTCATATACTATTTATTACCCATATACTATTCAAAAAAAGTAGGGGATATTTAATTTTTAAGTGTTATTAAAGTCACCTAATGAAACTGACGAAGAAACAAATGACAAAATGAAATGAAGTTCACATTCATCGATTTATTCCAAATGATCGTTAGACTAAGTAAGGCACAGACTGGCCATTATAAGGGTAAAATGATACCCGGGGTCAAACAGCAAAGTTACCACAGCATCACAACCAAGTCAGTAACGGGTAAATCCTCCTCTGTTTGCCAAACAAGCATTGATCCGACGTGGCATACTCCTAATGGACGTCTAAGGTCATTTTGGTCCAGATTGTCCCATTCCTGTTGCAACGCAGCAGCAAGTTCTTGGACATTGGCAGGACGTTGTTGACGTTGACGTAACCTCTGTCCAGACATGCTCGATGGGGGAGAGGTCGGGACTCAGTGCTGGCCAAGGTAATGTGGTGATGTTCTGTTGTTGGAGGTAACCTGTAACGATCCTGGCCCTGTGACATCTTGCGTTGTCATCCTGGAAGATGAAACGGCGGCCATGACGTCGTGCGAACGGCACAACATGGACTGCCAAGATGTTGTCCCGGTAGTACTGGCCTGTAACACGCCCTGCAACAACATGTAAAGCCGTTCTTCCAGCAACAGTGATGCCTCCCCACACCATAACAGAACCACCCCCAAATCGATCATGTCTGATGACGTTAACGTCTTGGAAGCGCTCGTTTCGACGACGCCACACCCTCCTACGTCTGTCCAAAAAATCAACAGTGAACCTTGACCCATCTGAAAACATCACATTGCTCCAGCGTCGATTATCCCAGTGTTGACGATCCCTACACCAACGACGTCTTGCCTGAATGTGATGATCTCTCAAACAAGGGATCACGCGAGGACGTCGGGCGCGAAGGTGACCCCTATGCAGTCGATTCCGAATCGTCTGGCCACTCACTCTCACACCAGTGTCTGTTTGAAGACGAGCGCTGATCTGATTTGCTGTGATGACACGATTTCTCAAGGCCAAGGTACGGATAAATCGATCCTGGGCTTGGTCTGTCCTGTACAGATTGTGTATCACGGTATCTGGACCATAGCCTGCTTATGACAGACTGAGAAACATTCATCGTCTGCGCCACAACTGCCTGTGTTGTGCCGATCTGTAGCATGCCAAGGGCACGTAACCTTTCATTTTGGGTAAGCCGACGCATATCAAAATTTGTTTTCTGGTCACTAAAACAATTAAACGGATGTTTCCACCCTGGAATTCAATGCCACAGTGACTGTAACATTCAAAGTCAGAGTCGTGCAAATCTTGGGTTGGACCCCCATGATGATCCCAAGCATCACCTGCATTCCATGCGGTAGCTATTGGTGCGTTTGGGCGTCACATGTAACTGGAAATGTTTCTTCTGTTAGGTTCTATAGTGACTTTTTTCGTAGTCATTTGCATATTTTAGTATTATGCCCCCAAAATCAAATATCCCCTACTTTTTTTTAATTGTATATTACTGGTACCAAATACATCAGTGGCTATTTTCCATATTTATTACTCATATTTGATTTGATTTGATTTTT